TCAAAGTATTTTTTATCCCAGAATCCTCCTGGCCGAGGAATGAATCTCAGCCAGTAACTTTAACCTCTCCAAATTGAGTTCATCTGAGACATCTGACTATTGTTTATGCATGTTGGTTTTCTCAGAGTCTGTTTTTTGCTTTCAGTAACACTGCACTGCACTCAAATTGCATATATCACTTGCTGTCTAATTATGATGGAGTAATTTGTTTAATTTTCTGTTTTAAAATCCTGAAAACAAAAGAACGCCATGCAAATCTTGTTAACAATTTCTTCGAATGCACAAGTATATAAATGAGTAAGAATAAGGCCGGTTTACTGACATGTATTTAGGATTGGATCATTTTTGAATTAAAGGCGTAGACCTTTATCAGATAAATTGTATTCAACTATCAGAAAGAGATTACTCTAGATTAGAAACTGGATGTAAATCAATGTAATAGATCATGTGCTACTTTGATTCTTTCTACAGTAGATTACAATGATTAGGTTGGCTAATTATTTTTTTTTTTCAGATATATGCTTGGAATGAAAGTGGACAATGAAACCATTGTAGGCAGCACAATACTAGTGTCTTTAGATATGACAAGTAAGCATCACATTTTGTTTATACTATAACACATGTTAAAATAGCTACATGCCATTTTAGTGAATTTGACTCAATGTATGAATTAAAAGATTCTTCATTCAGCCAGGATTGTGCAAGCATTGTGAGCATATGCTTCATTCGCTACTTCATGCATTAGCGAAATTATCGATTAGCTAAATTAACTAAAATAACAGGTTAGCTAAGTCATGTTTTACAGTATCAATTCAATACAACTCTAATCATTCAATTATTTTCTGATACAGTTTACAATAAATGGTTATGTAGTTACTAACTTTAGATGGTAAGTATATCAATAAAATATAATATGTTTGATAATGAGTTCAGGGTTGTTGGTAATATCATTGTTTTGTTTTTCAGATGTACAAATAGCAGTAACTTTACAGCAAGAAATTATGACTGCATTTCAAGATTTTGCTAACAACATATCTCTGTCTCTTGTCGGCAATACTTATCTAGCTCAGTTACCAATAGTAGTGAGTATCAGTTGTTCATTCTGTCTAATTCTATTGTCTTTCTGTTTTCTCGGAGGAAGAGCATATTTGAACTAATCTATGACTGATCTCCAGAGCACTACATCGGTGAACTAGCTTTGGTGTTGCCATCCAGGCACCTTGACTGCTCTTTGCCAACTCCTTGCAATACCATTCAAGCAACTATGTGCTTCCATCCAAGTACCTTGACTGCTGCCATCCGAGCACCTTGAGTGCTGCCATCCAGACACCTTGAGTGCTGCCATCCAGGCAT